CTCCCAAGAGGTCTCCAGGAGGCCCCCGGGAGGATCCCACGAGGCTCCCAATTTGCTTCGAAGACGCCCTCGAGAGGCCTCTAACATGCCTTACCCCCCCCAAAGAGGGCCCACACTGACCTTCTGGTGATAATGACGAAGGATATGATGAAATAGCATCGTCGAGGGGTATCATGACGATAATCATGATGATGGGAAAATGGCGGTGGCGATGATGAGAGGAAGGGAATTATCATGAAGATGGGTACGATAACGATGGTGATGGTGCTGATGATGATAACGATGCTGATGTTGATGCTGATGATGGTGGTGGTGGTGATGATGGTGAGGATGAGGAGGAGGATGTGGATGAGGATGAGGATGCTTATGAAGAGGGGGAGGATGAGGAGGAGGTGGAGGAGGAAGTGTGGATGAACTATATGAACGATGATGAGGGTGATTTCATAATGATGAGGATGAGGACTGGCTGCTGAGTGGGATTGATAAAATCCCGATGGTGGTGATGATGATGATGGTTATGACTGTCATGCTGATGCTGATGATGATTTTGATGGTGGTGGTGGCGCTGAGGATGATGATGACGATGGTGACAAGGCTGAGGATGTTGATGACGATGGTGACGATGCTGCTGCTGATGATGGTGATGATGATGATGATGCTGATGATGATGATGTTGATGACCATGATGATCATGATGAAGGGAGAGGCGGAGCAGAAGGAGGACAATGATCATGGTTCTGGTGACGATAATGATGATGCTGATGCTGATTGTGATGATTCTGATGATGCTGCTGATGATGGTGATGCTGGTGATGATGCTGACGATGCTGACTATGCTGATGATGCTGATGATGAGGAGGAGGGTGATAATGATGATGAGGATGACGACGACGATGCTGCTGATGATGATGCTGATGCTGATGCTGATGACGATGATTATGCTGATGATGATGCTATTGTTGTTGATAGCGATGGTGATGGTGATGGTGATGGTGGTGATGAGTATGATGATGCTGATGATGCTGAGGCTGATGCTGATTCGAATGTCGCTGCTGCTGATGACTATGCTGATGATGATTATGCTGATGAGAATGATGTTGTTGTTGATAGCGATGTTGATGGTGATAGTGGTGATTAGTATGATGATGCTGATGATGCTGATGCTTATGCTGATTCGAATGTCGCTGCTGCTGCTGATGATACTGATGTTGTTGATGATGCTGATGGTACTGATTAGTAGGATTAGGATGATGATGATGATGATGGTGATGGTGATGATGATGCTGCTGCTGATGATGATGCTGATGATGATGATGATGATGAGCGATGATGATGATGAAGATGATGATGATGATGATGATGATGGTGATGATGATGATAATGATGCCGGTGCTAATGATGAGCCATGCTGATGATGATGGTGATGATGATGTTGATGATGATGGTGGTGGTGGTGGTGGATGATGATGATGATGTTGATGCTGATGATGATGATGATGATGATGATGGATGATGACGATGATGATGATGATGATGATGATGATGATGATGATGATGATGACGATGATGATGATGATGATGATGATGATGATGATGATGCTGATGATGATGATGATGATGATGATGATGATGATGATGATGATGATGATGATGATGATGATGATGATGATGATGATGACGATGATGATGACGATGACGATGACGTTGATGATGCGACGAGGCAGGATCAGGACAGCCGTCACACGTGCCATCTTCCGTCTTTTCTGCTTGAGGAGCTTCCCGGTAGCCTATTGGGGCGGTTTTTGGGCCGTCTGGGGCTTTTGGGCCAGCCCTCTTGGGGCCCTCTTGCAATGGTTTGAGGCTTTCCGGGGCCGTCTTGGGGCCTTCGTGACTGTCTGAGTTGGGGAGTCTCTTGCGGTCGTCGATGGGCCGTGTGGGGGCCGTCGATGGGCTCTCCAAGGCCGCCCTGCGCCGTCTAGGGGCTTTCTTGGGCTGCCTTGAGGCTGTCTTGGAGGATTCTTGGGCAATTTGGGGTCAGTCTTGGGGCCATAGTAGTGGATACCTTTAGGGCCGTCTTGAGCAGAAGGGAGCCCGAACATTTGAAGACGCCGAAGACTTTTCGCATTCGCCTCTTCGGGCCTTACTGGGGGTTCTCTTGTGGCTCTCTTGGGACTTTTGGGGGGGTCGTGGGCCGTTTTGAGGCCACCTTGGGCCGATTTGGAGCCATCTTGGGCCGTTTCGGAGGCGTCGTTGGCCATCTTGGCGGCCTTGGTTGCCTGTCTTGGCCGTCTTGTGAGCTCGGGGGGGGAGGAGGGAAGAGAAGGACAAATGCATGGAGAAGCGAGGAGCTGCCCCCCCCTGCAGGCCCGGGTGCAGTTGGCATAGAAAGGATTGGTGTGTTCCCCGTGGGTTCTAACGCCATGTTGGCATTGGCGTTTGGACAGCGCGGGAAGATTCTTTGGCTTACGCCGCACCGCCAACCCTTTGGGGGAGAGTCGCTGTTGCGGCTTCTGGGTGCTGCTTGACTTATGCGGCCTCGGAGGCCTGCAGATCGCGCCAAGACGGCCCACGAGGCCCCGAAGAGGGCCCAAGACGGCCCAGGAGGCTCCCCAGACGACCCAAGTGTGCCGCAAGAACGTCCCAAAAGGGTGCCCCGAGGGGGACTGCGAACCAATATTTCGAGGTCTCTGGCCCTAGAGGCCCCCAGTAGGCCCCCAGAGACCACCAAGAGGCTCCCACGAAGCCCCGTGAGGCCCCCAAGAGGCCCCCAGGAAGCCCCAAGAGGCCCCAAGGGGCCCCCGGGGAACGCAAAAGAGGCCCCCCAACACACCCCAACACATCATGTTCCCAGAAAGCTTTCCGGGGACATGGTTCATCATGGGCCCGATAGTCTCCAGAGGCACCGAAGTACCATCGCGCTACCGGAGAGTTGTCTGGGAAGTTGATTGGGAGCATGACTGATCGCCTTCTCGCGGCACTCCGCGGATCGTTTCGCACGAAGTTGCCCTAAGTGCCCACTTGAACCGACGACGACGAAGACGACGAAACGACGAAGATGAAGACGACGACGACGGCGCGTCCCAAGAGGCGACGACGACATTACGACGACGACGACGGCACGCCCCGACAGGCTCCCCGAGACGCCCCCCAAATCCATGTTCCCAGAAGGCTTTTTGGGAACCCGATTCATCAGGTCTCCGTCCCCCTACGCAGCCATCTTCCCCGAAAGCCTTCCATGCTGCGGGTTGACATGCATGGACTTCTCACTGCCCATAATGCGTTCAGCGTAGTGGGCACTTTACTTCCCGCTCAAATCATTTGTGGTCCACTTACTTCAGTGGAGCATTGAACTCGTCAAGGACTGGGGCCTGCTAGAGCCTGATCGCGCGAAGCGCGCGCGATGGCTCTAGTCTAATATCCTGCAACACTGGCTGGTGCGTGTCCAACCACTTGCTGCCAGTATAAATACCACCTGGGAACCGCCACTCCTCGATGGTGCCGATGTCGCCGTCGTACGCGCACTCGCTGTGTGAAACTTCTCTCCGTCCCAGTCTGAGCAGCTGCACAATTATGGCCGAGATAGGCCCATGCACCAATCGGTCTTGTTGCCCCGCACTTGCGACTGCAACTTGTCGAGCGCTGCCTTCTCGTCGGGAGTTGGCTCGAGCTCGTCGACCGTCCCGAGGAAGCTCTGGTCCCACAGGACCTGGAAGAGCGGGACGGTGCCGTCCTCCTGGATGTCGGGCTGGACGCCCGCTGCTCGCGTCAACGCTGCTGTAGCGCTGCGCCTGTCATGCTCAGCTTTGGCCAAACCCACTGCCCATTGGTTCTCCCGTTTCTCCGCCGCTGCCAGGCCATGGCGGAGCCGAAGTGCGCTGCCGCTGGCGACCGCCTGCTCGTGTTGGTGCTCGGTTGCGCCACACCGTCCGCACGGCGAATAGCGTCCACTGGACTCTCCTTCGCGTTGGACCCTGCCTCGGCCTCATGGGACCGCTTCACAAGCTGGTCCTTCAAGGTGGCCTGCAGGATGGCGTCCTCGGGGGCACGGATCGTCTGCTGGAGGAGCTCCACTACCGAGCCGCCGTCGCCCTTGCCGCCCGCGGGAAGAGGACCGTTCACGTAAAAGAATGCCTGCAGGGTTCGGTTGGCGAAGACCTTGAGCCTCGCTGCCACGGTCCGCGTCCAAGACATCGACGCCGTCCTCGTTACATTGTTGACCACCACGGTCCCGTGAGCAACGAACACGACGCGGAACCTGGAAGAGTTCGACTTTGGAGCCACATCCTCTATACAGACATCCACGTTTGGACAATGTTGCATTCCAGTCACATTCCTTCTTGCATGTCGTGCACCTGGTCCACAATTTGTGCGCACCAGCCATACTTACCTTCTGTGCTAGTCGGTATTCTGTAGAACTGGCGGGCGACAGAGTACAGTCCCTCAAGCGCTGCGGGAAAGCCAAGAGCTTGGACGCAGATGCCACGATGGTCTGAGCCCAAGTTGCTTGATATTAGGAGGAGCAGGAAGACGAGGAGGAGGAGGAGGAGGAGGAGGAGGAGGAGGAGGAGGAGGGAGAGGAGGAGAGGGAGGAGGAGAGGGAGGAAGAGTTGAAGGAGGAGGAGGAGGAGGAAAACGCGGAGGGGGAGCAGGAGGACGAGGAGGAGGAGCAGCAGGAGGAGGAGGACGAGGTCAAGGAGGAGGAGGAGTAGGAGGAGGTCACTGACGCTGCCTGCGAGTCCGTTTTATAGCATCTAAGACAGGGGGAGGTCGCATCCCGGGGCGGCATTCCTGGGCCCGAGGCGGACCACCAGAGGCCGTGAGCGTGAGGGAGACAGGACTGGCCGCCAGCGCAGCGAGGGCGAAGGGTTGACGGTGATTGATGCCGACGTGCGACGTACGACCGACGACGACGTACGACGATCGACGTGCGACCATGACGACGACGGACGCCGACAACGGACGATGCGACGACGCACGAGGACGACAGCCCTGACCGCCAGGTTTGTGTCCCTCGGGGGCCTCGCCCGGCTTGCGCGCGGCATGGCGCTGTTCTGCACGCTCTACGTCTGCCTGCTTCACATCAACTACAGTCCGCCGCGGCGGCGTCGCAGCTCTCGGGGGCTGGGGCCCAGGGACAACCCTAGGGGGGAGGAGGAGAAGGAGGAGGAGGAGGATTCGATTCGATTCGATTCGAGCTCATGGAATCCAAGACAGCATCAGAGAAGCCAGAAAAACTTTCATCAAAAAAATCGCTCCAGAGTGCCTCCTAAAGGATTCTGAGAAATGCTTTGCAAAACCTCCTCCTTGCATTGATTGGCCGAGTGTTGCGCTCTGCGCTAGGCAGCACTGGCCGGCCCGCAGCCGTAAGGCCCCCACGCAGAGGGCGCGAGGCGCGGGCACGCACGGCGCGAGGTCCTGTGTGCTACTCCACGGACTCCATCCATTCTCTCACGGCGGGAGGTTGGGGAGAGTGGCGGGCGCGCGGGCGCCCTCACGCTCCGTCGCTCCGCTAGTCGCTCTGCCGTCCCTCCCAGACGACGACGCCTGACCACGACCCCGACCCCGAGACCCACCCTTCCCTCTCCCCACGCTCTTCGGCTAGGGTAATACTACGACTGGAACAGTGGGAAGATTATCATGCGCATATGTCTGAACCACCTGTTGCACAGCTGGCGCAACTATCAAACCTCTGTCTAACAGCTGCTGGTATCTGGCACTATTCGCTCCTACTTGTTTGGACAGCTCGCGCTCGAAGGGGCTCCGAGGCGCCGCTCCTACCATGAAGAGCCCCCCCTCCACCTTCACCAACTCCTCCATCAGCCCGCAATGGACATCCGCGATCGGGTCCCTCATGTGGAACTGCATATACAGCGTGCAAGTCTGTAATGCCCCCTCCTCCTTGCGATGGATCTTGATCCGAAAGTGCCCGCATGCCCTGCCGATCTCCCTCCAATCGAGCTTCACGAACCTCTCTGTCCAAAACTGGCTCATTAACTCCTTGTTCTTCTGGTCCCGTGCTTTCATGTTGCCCTCCTGGACTGCCTTGGTCGCGCCGTAGTGTACGGCTGCCGTAAGTATACACACGTGAGGGGCGGGACGATTCTTGAAGTCCACCTTCTCCCCCCCCTTGGCCTTTTCTTTCATCTCCTGTGACTTGCGGTCGTAATCTTTCCCTGCTGCGAGAATGGCGGCGACGAGGGGGGTCGACACCACGAGCAGGTAACGAAGGAACACGCGGGCGCCCAAATCGGCGATTTCGCGTGAGTTGGTGAGCACGAGACGAATGACGGTGTCGACCTTCTTCTCCAGCCCGCTGCTGCTGCCGCTGCCGGCCCCGTTGCCCCCCTTGCCCTTCTTGTCCTTGCCCTCCTGCTTCCCCTCCTCCTCCCCGTCAGCCTTCCGCTTGATACCCTCGTTGAACCACGCAGGCATCGGTGGAGCTTCGACTGACATGCTTGAGGCCGCTGGTGGCATCACCTACAGAAGTCGGTTGTCCTGTATACGGTGGGAGCCGAAAGGGGAGGTGTCCGCATAAATGATCACACAGGCTCAGCAGGTTTGATCCAACAAAATCACAGAGTAAACAGGCGAACGTGTTCGGGATGTCAGGGGTAGTTTTCAGAGTGGAAGGGCCCCTCGTCGCACAGTGGCCCCTGGACAGTGAACCCTGCAAGTGCCGTGCCGCTGTGCTTTTACACCCAAAGACCTGCTTACAATTAATGCAGACATTTGTAGGCGTGAGGACATAGCACTGGTTGCGCAAGTGGTGCACCCGCCTGAGATGATTCATGAGCTCCCTCCGTGTCGTGAAGGCGGACGTACAGACTCCCTCATCTGTTGTAAGACCACACACATAGGGGCGCTCCACCTCCTCCACCTCCTCCTGGGCCTCTTCCTGTAACCAGCCTCCAGAGCCCAGGTTTTTTCCCCCAGGGGGAGGAATACTCACAGTGAACATGCGTGCCCGAAGCTCCGTAACGTCAAGCGCCACGAAATCCGAAACCTTCTCCTCATCCTTAAGGATAGTACGGTCCCCCGCCACCTCCTCCACCACCTCGCTGTCCAACGCCCTTGCCACCTCATCCAAATCTCGTTTCACTTGCAATACCCAGGGTGAGGCGAATTCCGTAGGTTGGCCGTTTCGAAGTTGGGGTCGGTGATTGTCCATCAACGTGCTCCCAAACTAACTACATAAGATTTGGGCATTTTCCTTGGGTTTCTTTGCCCAGCCCTGATATAAGCGAACACGCCGAACTCGAAGCTCGACAGCACTAGGGGCCAACTTCCAGTAAGATAACACCTGCTGGGTAGTAAACACCTGACGTGGTCACCCTCCCGCACCGTAGACGCTGTCGAAGCCTTCCCCTGCATCGCGATTCGGCCTAGAGCCGCAAGTCCTCGATCAAGCCTGTCATAGTCGTGACCCCTGAGGACCCACGACTCCATGCCACTAAGGATCGAATTCTGAGCAAATCCAATAAACAGGACTCGTTTCCATCGGTATGGCAAGTCCAGGGACCATATTCCCCCCAGACACTGAAAGGCGGCTCGGGAAGCTGCTAGACGACGACCCACCTCGCTTGCTGCACTGTCCCTAAGTACGATACGGGGTCCTAGGTAACGTGCGTCGTCTCGCATACGGCCCTCCAAACTCTTAGGGTGGTCCCGCAAATATTGCTTACACGAATGTGCACTCGCACTGAAGTGGAACAGGAACTCCTGCTTGGACATATTCTGGCCGTACCCGAAGGGCTGTAACTTCGAATTTAGAGATACATCCACACGCTTAAGTTTGTCTAGAAACTCTCCAAGGGTACTGTCCAAGTCTGCTAAAACAATTTTGTTAATGTCGTCGGCGTACTTGAGGAGGGAGAGGTCAGACTGTAACTCCCCCCAGTTAGCCTTCAGATCACGATAAGTAGAATCCCACTGAAGTAAGTCATATTCCCAATTTATCGCTGGTCTCTTAAAAGTCGAAACGAACATCGATACTATAAATGGATCGCCCATTGTGCCTCCCTGACGAGGCTTAACTAGTACTCCTCCTGTATTCGTCGGAAGCAAGATCGTCGAATCCAAAAAACGTTGTTCACATAGGCCGACATCGGGATCAGACGCATGTAAAGCGACAGAGGTTTTCATAGCCTCGAAGCTGCTGCTGCCAAATGCATTGCTCATGTCCTTCAAGCAGACTGCGTGTGTCCTCTGTGCGGCACGTAGGCGCCATGAAGTATTTAGTGATATCATAACCGCATTTTCACGCCGGCGGCCAGTCACGAAGCCATGGTCCGAGGTAGTTGGGGAAGGGCGTAATCTTTTTGCAAACCATCCTTTACCGATAGCGGCTAACACATGTACTACTCGACGTCCTAAGGGTCCTGCCTGATGGTTCTTAACCAATGCCGCTCCTTGGCTGCGGTGCCAGTAGAGGGGGGCCAACTGATGAAGACGGATCTTGAGAAGTCCAACATGTAACAACCACCAGAAAGTCTCAACTTTAGGTGCTTCGTCTCCTGCTCCTAGGCCTAATGCTCGATTCTGGACCCTCCACTTAGGAAACAATAGCATGCGCCATAATTCTACTGGTGCTGCATGTTCAGGAACTTGCTTTCGTTGGGGGCAAAGCAGAAGTATCTCTGAAGGGCCTGCATATCTTTTTTCACAAGTGTCGTCAGTTCTGGATTTTTTAATTCATAGGCGTAAGACTCTTCCTCCCGAGAAGCCCGTAACTGATCCCAATCCACCTCCTCCACCAACATCCCTCCCTGCGCCCCTGGTTCTCGCCAGACTCTAAGCCATTCGTCTGAAGAAGGTAGCGTACACCCCGCGAGTCGAGCGTCCCGCTTCTTGGGTCCGTAACGACAACGAGCCGCCCTCCTCGATGCACGCATTGCTTCGGCTGTACGCCGACGCTCCCAACACTCAGACGCCTCAATCATCAAGCGATCTCGATGGCGGCGCAAAGCTCGACGACGGTCGAGCTGTAGTTGGTGGGAAAGGGTGCGGAGTTCACGATCGATCTCATGGGCCTCAGCCTCTGTGGCCTCACACTTACTGCCTCGTAGAGAAACCCGACGACGAAGCAACTCACGACGACGTTCGCAGTCTTCTTTGTAGCCCTCCCGAACAGGTGCCCTTCCCAAGAAATGCTTTTTGCCAGCAGAAACAATGCATTGTTCCAAAGTTTCGAAAATCGTATCTGGAGATGCCCAATCCCTCTGGTAAATCGGCTGGATACTCCTCATCTCCTCCGCCACCGTCTCCAAGAAAGCCCACCTCCCTCTCCCCGTACGTAATGCCTCCATCATCCTGTCCTGGTCCCACCTCGTCCTCTCCTCCTGGGGAAGCACAGGGCCTCCCTTGTTCATGGTCAGGCTCAGATTGATGGGTAAATGATCACGTGGCGCCGCCCCACGCACTGGTTGCCATTTCGCGCCCAGGCCCCGAAGGGGGTTGCAGGCGTGCAGAAGGCCGGCCATGCCCATGGGGACACACAGATAGTCGATGCGACTGGATGCCCCTTTCTCCCCGAAAAACGTGTCCTCCACATGCGTGCGCGCATTTGCAGCCATCATGTGATGCTTTTCAAGGATCTGGCGAAGCCGATGCCCAGCCCCGCCCACTAGACGTTCACGAGTCGGAGCCCCCACGACGTTAGTAGTAACACATTGCCACCTTCCATCCCTCCACTCCTCCCCCAGACCATCGTTAATATCACTATATAGTACAGGAACACAGCGTGTAGGAAGTGTACTCAGTAATCTGTCCAGCCATTCGCACAACACCTTAACTGTCCCAAAATAGGAAGGTTTCTGGTTGTTCTTGACTGGCTTTGGGGGGAAATACAGGCTGATTGCGCAGACGTCCAAGGTACCGTGCTTTAATCGCAATGCCATCGCTCTCCCTGCTGCCCCCTCTGGACTGCCCCATACCTGGTGAACTTCCCTGACACCATAGCGAGGACCGAGGGCGATCAGTACCCCACAACTACGATTGCTATAAGGAGCAGGAGAATGAGGTACTTCAAACACCATGCGCCCTTCAAGCCGACGCTGTAAAACCTGTGCTCCGCATAGTCTGTCACCTACTTGAGTGCCTGCCAACAGAACGAAGTCATAATTTCGAGATTCATTCAGTATCTCTGCCAGTCTGTCGCCTGATGCCCACATTGGGTTGTACCCAAGGACGCGTAGCATGCTAGACCTCGCCAGCACGCGGCCGTACATCTGCAAACATGTGTTGGCGAAAAACGAGTTTTCGGTAGTATGTATGTGTGACCGCCCCCTGAAGTTGTCTCTGGGCCGCTCGGGGCTAGGAGGAGGAGGAGGAGGAGGAGGAGGAGGAGGAGGAGGAGGAGGAGGAGGAGGGGGACAAGCCCCGGGGGGGCCATCGAGCCCCGGTCGCCCATGTATCGACGGCAGGGGCCCGATAGCCCGACCCCGCCCAGGAGCGTGCGGACCCTCTGTCCGGGGCGTACCTCCGATCCATCGGCGAGGCATCGCAGATTGCAGGTCGATGTTTCCCCTCCCCCACCGCTTGAGCACGTCCCCCCCCTGAACGTTCCCCCCCGGGGGGGCGCGGGGCAGACGCCCGGCGTCCCGGAGCCAATCGATGCGGCTGGCGTTTTTTGTTCGGACACAGCCAGGGGTGCCCCCTCCCTCCTCCCCCATCCCTCCTCCCGCCTTCCTCTTCTCTTCTCCTCACTCCTTCGTTCCCTCCTCCTCCTCCTGGCTCAGCGCGCCGGGGTTCGCGCAAGGAGCAAAACTCCTCCTCCTCCTCCTCTTCCTCCTCTTCCTCCTCCTCTTCTCTTCAGCCTTTCTGGTCCAGAAGGTTCTGGGCTTGTCGGCAGCGATCTTTAGAGAAGCAATGCTGCCGCGAGCCATCGGTTCTACCAGTCTTCACGATTTCCTGTCAGCAGATGCGATGGCCCATGCTGCGCCTTGGAGCTTCGGCGCGCGGCTGCGTGAAGAACCTCTCATGCTGGTACTTCAAGCACGATGGAGATCAATGGGGATCGAGTTCGGCACCAGTGCAGCAGAAGGACCAGCAGGCGCTCGTTCATTGGAAGGATGGTTCAAGCGGTGATGTACCTTCAGCTCTTCTGCCTCCTGTGTCTGTTAGGGGGATGGAACTCGTGGCCGTCGCGCCCTACCAAGTCGATTGCCATTGCCACAGAGGGCCTCACCAGTGCGGAGTTGGAAGGATTGTGCGCGTCGTCCAATCGCTAAGCATGGCCAGCTGGTGTTGCTCAAGAAATATGAACGTGAGCGATTTCCCCAGCTTGCACGCGAGACGCCGCGGATTGGGCCTCCCACCTCGCTGTGCACCCAGGCGAGCTAGGCCCAGTCCAATAGCAAACAGTGCGAAAGATGCTTGGCAAAGGAGCTGGACAAACTCAACAGGTGGCGTGCTGAGACAGAGACTCTCGAGTTGGCCATCAGGGGCCTCGAGCTGCAGAGTCGTGAGAACACCCGCAAGGAGCTGGCGTCCCAGACTCGACCGCAGGTGGCGCCAGAGGAATTTTGCTGTCAAGCCAGCGGTGGCCAAATTGTCCTTGCGCGCCTGGGTGGAGTCATCCGCGCCGTCGACCTCACCGACGACCTGCTGGATGGATTGCCGGAGGACTTCGAGGATCAAAAGATCTTCCACGACCGCAAGAGACTGCTCCAGGACCAGTCCCATGTGGCAGCCAAGCAGCATTCCTGTGTCGCGAACGAGGCGTTTGCCAATGCCAGGCGGGAGTGGAAGGGTCATCTCACGAGGCTCAGCAGAGCAAAACTGGAGTGGGTGCCAGCGGTTGTTCTGAGAGGTGACGCTGCAGCAGTTCCAGTGCCAGAAGACAGTGGCCAGGATGAGGCTTCCGCTGAGGCTGGAGGTGGTGCCCCAACCGCTCCAGGACGGCGTCGGGCGGTTCTGGGTCATCTGCTGCTGCCGCTGCTGCCGGCGCCTCGCAGGCCCCGGCTTCGGGGGCCAGCCCAGAGTTGCGGGGGCGCCCGCAGCAGGCCCTCGGCAGGGCCGAAGGCAGTCCCCCCCCCCGCCAGCCTCAGCGTGACAAGTCGGTCTACAGGCATGTGCGTGTGTGAGAGAGAGAGAGAGAGAGAGAGAGAGAGAGAGAGAGAGAGAGAGAGAGAGAGAGAGAGAGAGAGAGAGAGAGAGAGAGAGAGAGAGAGAGAGAGAGAGAGAGAGAGAGAGAAGAGAGAGAGAGAGAGAGAGAGAGAGAGAGAGAGAGAGAGAGAGAGAGAGAGAGAGAGAGAGAGAGATAAAAAAAAAAAAAAGTTTGGCCGCGCCGACCTCCCACGCGCAGGGAAGGGCAAGGTTGAGCTGGAGATGTGTACAGCGACTGGCTGCTGTCGGTGGAAGCCTGGCGTCTGGTTGTGGTTCAGGAACATCACCTCTTGGTTCCAGGCGAGCCCGACAGGGCGTCCAGGTCGTCCATTGCGGGGACCGGCGTTGCGCTAATCAGGAGGAGGCGCCCCTGAAGGAGGCGCCCCTGAAGGAGTTGCCATCCTGCCGAGACAGCTCGTCGGCTTGCACCCCCCCCCTCGTCCGATAGCAACTGGAAGAGCGCTAGGACGTGATGCCCACTTGCCGGCTGGAGCGCCTTTCCCTTTCGTCTCTAGCTACTGCGCCGACGCGGAGGGTGTGGCGCTCAGGCTGCCGTAGCTTCTCAGATATTCGGGATCGCGCGTGGGTTTGGGAGGTATGCCCACTGTCGCTGGGGCCGGCGTGAACCCGGGGCCTTCGGTTGATGGGTTCTTGGAGCAGCGTCGCGGTGAGATCGCGCGCGCGGGCCCCCCGGCGCATTTCGGCGGCAAGAAGTCGGAGTTTAATGGGCATATCGCGCCCAGCGGGTCGGCGCGTGGAGTTCGGGGCAGCGGGGCGTGCGGCGCGAGCGAGTTTTCGCCCCATTTTGGTCGCGTCCACGGCTTTCCACCCTGCTCCCTGCCACTTGCGGGCTTCGGTGCTCAGGAAGACCCCCCCCTGCTTGCTGGCGTCGTGCCGCGAGTGCCCCCCTGTATTCTTGGCCGCGCCCGTGCTACGTTTCGCGCTCTTGGCCCTGCTGTCTCATTCCCCTCCGCGCTGCGATGCGCGCTCTTGATCCAGCTGTCTTGGGCTTCCCCCTCGTGCTGCGTCATTCGCTCGCGATCATGCTGTCGCGGGCGCCCCCTCGCGCTGCGTTTCGCGCTCTTGAATCTGCTGTCCTGGCCCGACCCCGCGCTGTGATTCGCGCTCTCTATCCTGCGCTCGTTGCCCCCTTCCGCGCTGCGTTTCGCGTTCTTGATCCTGCTCTCAAGGACGCCCTGTGCTGAGTTTCGCGCCCGCGGACCTGCTGTCCTGGCCCCTCCTTTTCTGCGCTTCGCGCTCTTGACCGGCCTCGGTGCTGCGTTTCGCGCTCCTGATCCTGCTGTCTCGGCCCTCGCCGTGTGGCGGTCCGCGCTCTTGATACTGCTGTCATGGTTTCCCCCCCCCCTCTGCGTCTCGCGCTCTTGATCCAGCTGCTTGTCCGCCCCCCCCCCCCCGTGCTGCGTTTCGCGCTCTCCACATTGTTGTCTTGGTTCTTCCCGCGCTGCGATTCGCGCTCTTGGTTCTGCTGTCTTGGCCCTCGCCCAATGGTGCTGCGTTTCGCGCTCTTGGCCCTGTGGTCGCGGCTCCATCGTGCTGCGCTTCACGCTCTTGATCCTGCTGTCTTGGGCCCCCCCCGCGCTGCGTTTCGCGTGCTTGATGTTTTGCCCTGGCCCCCCCCAGTGCTGCGTTTCGCGTTCTTGATCCTGCTTTCTCCGCGCCACTCCGCGATGCGTTGTCTTTCTTGATCCTGTTGTCTAGGCCCCTTCGCGCCCTTGAGCCTGCTGTCTTGGCCCCTCCCGTGCTGCGTTTCACGTTCTTGGCACCGCTGTCTCGCCCCCAATCCCCGCGCTGCGTTTCGTGGTCTTGACCCTGCTGTCCTGGCACCCTGCTGCGTTTCGCGCTCTTGGCCCTGCTGTCTCGGCCCTGGCGCTGGGTTTCGCGCTCTTGATCCCGCCGCCTTGGCCCTGCCCTGGCGCTGCGTTTCGCGCTCTTGATCCTGCTGTCGCGCTCCTCCCCGCGCTGCGTTTCGCGCCCTTGACCCTGTTGTCTCAGCCCCGGTGCTGTGTTTCACGCTCTGCGTTTTGCTGTCGTTACCCCCTCCGTGCTGCGTCTCGCGCTTCTGGCCTTGCTGTCTTGCTCCGCCCACGCGCTGTGTTCCGCGCCCTGAATCCTGGCGTCTCGACCCCGCTCCTCGCGGTGTGTTTCGTGTTTTTGATCCTGCAGTCTTGGCCCTGGTGCTTCGTTTTACGTGCTTGATCCTGCAGTCTCGGTCCTGGTCTCCGTTCAGCGTTTCGCGCGCTTGATCTTGCTGTCTTGGCCCCGTGCCCCGTGCGTTCCGCGCTCTTGATCCCGCTGTCTCTGCCCCCCGCGCTGCGTTTCGCACCCCTTGATGCTGATGTGGTGGCTTTGCTGCTGCGATCGCGCTCGTGATGCTGCTGTCTTATTCCCTGGCGTCCCCTGCTGCGTTTCGCGCTCTGGATGCAGCTTGGCCCTGGTGCCCCTGTGCTGCACCTCTCGCTCTGGGTCCTGCTTGCGTGGCCCCCATCCGCGATGCGTTTCGCGCACTTGACCATGCCGTCTCGGTCCTGGTGTTTCGTTTCGCGTCTTGATCCCGCTGTATTGCGCCCCCCCTGGCTGCGTTTCGCGCCCCTTGTTACTGCTGTTTCGGGCCCCCCCCGCGCTGCGCGTCGTGCTCTTGATCCTGCTGTCTTGCCCCGCCCCCGCGCTGCGTCTCGCGCTTTTGATCATGCTTTTCTTACTTCCCCGGCGTTGCATTTCGCGCTCTGGGCCCCGTTGTCTCGGGCTTCCCCCCGCGCTGCGTTTCGCGCTTTTGACCCTGCTGTCATGGCTTTCCCCGTGCTGCGTTTTTCGCTATTGATCCTGCTCTCTTGGCTGGCCCCGCCCCGCGCTCTTGAGCCTGCTGTCTTGGGCCTGGTGGTGAGGTTGACGCTTTTGTTCCAGCTGTCTCGGCCCCCTCCGCGCGGCGTTTCGCGCCCGTGATCCTGCTGTCTCGTTTCCGTGTCTGCGTTTCGCGCTCTTGGTCCCGCTGTCTTGGCCGTCCCTGGTGCTGCGTCTCGCGTCCGTGGTCCTGCTGTCGCGGCTCTGGCGCTGCGTTCCGCGCTCGTGATTCTGCAGTCTTGGCATTTCGGCGCGGGGCCGATCTTCGGCTCTCTGGATCCGCCAGCTTTAGTTTGTGCTTCCAGCGTGTTCTTGTTCTTCCGCACAGTCAAAAGGTTGAACCGAGGAAGCGTTGGGCTTTGGACGTGGCTCAGCATTTCCCCAGACTCAGCCATGGCTTTCCTCGAGCGCCCATCTTGCATCCGGTGGCTTTTGGAGGCCCGATGTAGTTTCATGTTGTTTCCACTGTGACTTATGATAGTAGTTCCACTGTGCATGTTTCGTCCCTCGTAAGGTTCGCCTCCTCTCCTTCCTTCGTCGCGATGCGCGGGCCGCCCCCGTCGCTGACCTCGCAGTCGGGGCGCGGCCAAGCGAATCGCAGGCGCCCGCGCTCCGGCTCACATCGCAGTGATTCTAGCGAGTCTTACTGTCGTCGCAAATCCAGGGCGAAGTATATTGCGCGAGGGGGGATATCGGAATATGACGTCGCGCCCGTGAGCCAGCGCGAATGTGCATCTTCTCGGGGCCGAATGCGGCGCCGTCCTCGTGGGCGAGATGGCGTCGTGTCTGAGGCGCCTGGGCTTGGCGGCGATGGTTCCGGCATGGGAAGAGCCGCTTCTGGGGCCGGTGCATGCCTGGCTCGCGGGCGTCGCAGAAAGGGCAATGATAGGAGAGGGCCCCCCTGCCGTGTGCGACCAGGCTAGCGCTGCCGTGGGTCAGCAAGCGATTGGCGAGCGGACGGATGTTGGAATCGCCCGTCTAGTTCAGGACCGAGAGCGCTGGGCGCCTCCGCTCGGGTGCGAAGTCGGGGGGGGGGGGGGGGGGGGGGGGGGGGGGGGGGGGGGCGCCGGCGGCTGGGGGGCGCCGCCGACCGGCAGGCCGCGATGGGGTTCCTTGGTGCACGCTGGAAGTGGGGGAGCAATGGCCCCCTTGGGCGTGGGCCGAGGCGGGCGACCCGGACAGGGTCATCGCGGCGCTCGAGCTCCTCGGCGCGATCCCGTGCGCGCGGCTGTTCGCGAAGTCCCGCGGGCGCCGCCGGTGGGCGCTCCTCGAGATGGCGGGGTTGACGGGCAACCTTGGAAAAGCCTGCGCGGTGAAGGGGGCAGTGTCGACCAAGTGGCCGTTGGCGGTCGTCTTCATCTAGCTGGGGGCTGAGGTCGCGCGAGATGGCGCTGGGCCTAGTTGGGCGACCGCGAGAAAACCGGGGGGCGGGCGACCTCAGCGACGCGAAGACGTCGGCCTTCGACGAGTGCCTCAGGATCCACGTGGCGGCCGCGGACCTGAAGTGGCGATGGCGCGGGCCTCCTGGGAGCTCTGCGCGTCGACCGGAGAGGAGAGGGGAGGGCGGCCGCCGATGGCGGCGCGCCTGCTGCAGGGCGCGGCCGGAAGGGCCGCGGGCGCGCGCGCCCGGCGCCGCGATGGCCGCATCGCCCAGCACGTCGCATGCTACGTCGCGCGGGTGGGGCAGGAGGCGGCGGCGGTTGGGCGCAGGGGGGCGCGCGACCTTTCAGGGCGGGGGCCCAGCGCGAGGTCCTATGGCGGTGGTCTTGAACCCCGCCCCCCGGTCGCCGCAGCGGGGCAGGCGCCCCCCCCCCGCCCGGGCCCTCCCCTTTCCACCGCGGCGGTGGGTGATCCAGGGCGGGGGACTTCGAGCGGCTCCCCCTGCCGCGGTGGGCCCTATATGGAAGACGCAGAGGCCGCGCCCGCGCCTCCTTTCATGGCGCGGTGCGGAGGGGATGGCGGCGCCTGTGCGGCGGAGCGAGAAAGGCGAGGCGCGGGCGGCGGGCCTCGGCGTCAGCGGTGTCTGGCGGGCCCCCCTGGGGGCAGAGCCCCCCGTGCCTCGTGGCCCCCGCCCATTCCTCATTGGCGACCTGCTCCCATCGCTGTAGGGGCGGGCGCCCAGTCCCTGGGAGTGGCTCGGGGCCCTGCGCTGCAGGGGCCGCGCGTCCGCCACCCGTGGAATTGGTGTCAACGTGCCCCCCCCGTCATGTACTCCCATCGTACCAGGGCCATTTGAGGATGCGCCCCTGTGTGCCGACGCGAATGCGCATCCTTCCGCTCTGCCCGATGCCCGTGGCCATGCGGGCTCGGGCGCCGGGCCGATTTTGAACGGCCCGCCCGCCGCCCTGGGGCATCGAGCGCCTGGGAGTAGCTCGGGCCCCTACGCTGCAGGGCCCGCGCCGCCATCCGCGGATGCGGCGTCGTCGTCGCCCCCCCGCCTTTCTTCTGCCGCCCTCGCGCCGCTTATTGTGCCACTCGAGGATGCGTGAACATATTTTGTTCGGAGGGTCGCGCGGATTTTTGTGATTGGTGTTTTTGGCGTTTGAAGACGGTGTTCATGGGGCCAAGGTCAGAGAACCTGCCGGGGCTGCAAGAGACGTGTCGTCAGTGGCCCGCGCAAGCTGCGGGTCGCCGGAGGCCCGCGGATGGGCGCGGGCCCCTGAGTTCGCGCGGCCGCGGCGGAGCAGCTGGGCAGCGAGGCATTTTTGCCGCGCGCGCGCCCCGGCAGAGCCCGGGAACCGATTCGCAAGGCCCCCGGACAGCTCCACGGGCTCATTCCCAAGCGTGGATTCAGGCCTTGGGGCGGCCTCGGCAGAGCGCTGGAGCACCTTCGCTCCGCGCGCGCGCCCCGGCAGGGCTGGGGCCGGACGCGCGGGGCCCGAGCCTGGGCGCGCAAGGCCCGGGCGCGCGGCGCGCAGAGGACCAGCCGCCGAGGCGCAAGGGCCATGGAAAAAGCCCCGCAGGGCCGCGATGTCGCACGCTGCGCTGCTGTAGAGGTCCGTGTGGCCCTGGCGCGTCGCAGCCGCGGGCGGTGAATTGCTTTGGCTCGGGCGGTCTGCTGCCTGCGTGATCGAGCCAGATGATGCCGTGAGATTTACTTGTTGATTCGTTGCTGGAGGGTGGTCCCGCGCGGTGCGGGGCGGTGGGCCCGATCGCCAGGTGCGGTGCCTGATTGGGCCGCGGTCGTGGCTGCCCGGGGCGCGATGTTCGCGGGTCTTCGGTCCGTAATCATGGCAAAAGATTGCGGGCCCATGGGTGCCGCGTGCCTCGGCAATCGGCCTCGAGCTTAGGCTGGGGCGAGAGTGGCCGCGACCATGTCGCCGGCGGCCCGCGCGTGGGAAAGTCGGGCGCCCGGCGCTCTCCGGCCATGGTGCGCGGGTGTTTGGGGCGGGCTGTTCTACGTCAGCTGGAGAGAGCGTCCTGCCTCAAGCTGGTTGCAATGGGCTTTTTCTTGCGGCGCGCTACCGGTCGCGCCCGAGCGCCCGGCCGGCGCCGCCAGCTCATCCGCGCCCGATCCTGCCGGCGATTTCGAGGCCGATCGGGCGCCCCCCGCCCTTGATGGATCGGGCAGGCTTGGAGGAAGGGGGGGTCGTGGCAGGGCCGCGGCGGGCAGGGCCATGCGGGCCGGCGTCGGAGGTTGAGGCGAGGTTGCCACCTGAGTCGTTTTTGCCCTCTGCGCGCAGGGCCGCGGTCGACGAGGGCCGCGGGGGCGCGGGGCCCGCCGGGGCGAGAAGCTCGAGCTGCCAGATGCAGAGACATTCGAATAGGCTGAGCAGGCGACGGCGGGGGGGCCGGCAGACCTCGTCAACTCCACCGCGGGCGCCTGTGGTCATCCGGGAGATTTGGTCCTTCCTATTTGGTTTTGCAAGGTGTGGGCGGTGTCCTGGTTGAATGGTTCCACGAATGCGTCGAGTCTTCGGGCTCGGGCCCCCCCCGGCCCGAGCAGGTCTGGAGTTTCCTGGGCCCGGGCAGGTTTGATTGGAAGGCGGTGTGTTTCTTGGTGGTGGCTGCCTTTCTTGGTCGCAAGGGCTTGGCCCCCGTCTCCGACGGGGGGCGCGCGCTTGCGAGGGTTTGCAGGCGTGAGTGCGCCCGCCTGTTCCAGACGGCCCAGTCGGGCGAGTTCTCCTGCCTCGCGGCCGCGGGGGCGACGCCGACGGATCAGCTGCGCTCTACTCCTGAGGCGCCTCCGCGCGGCGGGGGGGGGCGCGGGGGGGGGCGTGCCGATGTGCGCCAGTCGGGCCAAGAGTCGGCCGAGGGTTCTCCCGGCGGTCTCGGCGACACCGCGGCATTAACCGCGCCCTTCCTTTCAACTCGAGGGCGTCGCAAGGGGCGAAGAGGAGGAACAGCGCAGAATATGCGAGCTCGATGGCGGCAGTTGCAAAGGCTCAGCTGCCCCAGGAATGCCCTGTGCCGTGTGCTTGGGCACCGCCGCCGCCGCCCCCCCCGACGCGACGCGACGAGGGGAATTCATGCCCCCCCGAAAATGTGTTGCACATTGCGATTTCTCAGGGCCGTATGTCGCCCTGCCCCGCCCCCGCATGCGCTGCGCTACTCGGTTTTGGGGCGCGCCGACCCCGCCCAGAAAGGGCTGCTCTTGCGAGTGGGGGCGGCGACTGGCCACCTCCCCGCCCGAGCGCTGCTCTTGTTGTTTGTCTCCGAACGGGGAGGTGTCAGCATGCAGGCGTGTGCCCCCCCCCTGCAGAGGCCCCGCGCCACGGGGGATAGAGAGCGGGACCAGGGGCGCGGCGACGAAGCCGCAGACCCCCCTCCGATCGAGGATCGCGCCCACAGCGCGTGTGGGAGGACGACGCGACACGAAGAGGCATAGTAAAGGAACGTGATTATAACGCATACCCACTCATGCGGCCGACCTCTTCTCGCAACGGGCACAGAGAAGAGGGCCAGACATTTGTTCTCTTGGCGTTTTTTCAACCGCAGCTAAATCGAATACCCGGGCCCGAACCTCCTCAGATGCTGGTGTCTTTTCAAAGGGTTAAACTGTCGGGGGGGGGGGGGGGGGGGGGGGGGGGGACAAATGTCGGCGCGCACCTGTAACGGTCGCCGAAAATGCAGAGGCACGGGCACCTGAACCTAAGATGCCACCCGCGCCTGAGGCTCACTTGCTCGCAAGGCGATGTCTGTTCTGCAGCGGTGCCGTTCCAACAGAGACGCAGAAACGGGCGACGAAACGTAGGGCTTCCACGCAACAATATATATATATATATACACACACACACAAAAAAGCAGAGACATGCAGACGGAAACGAGGATAGGATGTTGCACACACAGAGGGGCACGCATCAAGGGAAAGAGAACGCGACGTGAGAACCTCTTCGAAAGCAAGGATAACGTGCCGCCCAACGCATCGCCCAAACTGCTGATAACCTGTGGGAGTTTGGGTCGGTCCAGAACACCAGGATGTTTATACCCATCCGCTGTGGAATGCTCCCCAGAGACGCGTGCGCTTTGAGGACTACGCACAACCTGACAAGATAGTGAATTGAGAATGCGATCCGTGCCAGTGGGGACAATAGCCTGGGTTCCCTCAGGTTCATGGGCGGTATCTGTCACATTGGGCCCGCTTGCTGTGGCCTTCAAAAGTATGTGCCCCTCGGCGGGAAATCCACACGAAGGATCGGTGAAGGTACGAGGACGGAGTAGGAGCAGGAGGAGGGAGGAGGAGAGATGGCCACGGAGGTGGTAGGATAAGGAGGAACATGAGGGCAGATGGAGGCCCCGCGGATGCACAAAAACACGGCGTCGGAGGGCAGGGGGCTGGCCCGACAGACCCTCCAGAGGTGAACGAAACATCAGGGGAAAGTGAACCCTAGGGACGGGCCGTTTTTTTGCTCGAGCAAGAGCCCCGTTGTCCTTGTTGTCAGTCGGGTCTCCCTCGCCCCCTTACACAAGAAAACAAACACGGTAGCTTCCTCCTAAGATTTCGGCGCAGGTGTTCCTTCTCTTGCATTGTGGTTTGTTCTTGTTGTTAACCAGACTAGTGGTAGGGTTCAAACTTGACTCCCCTCACGTCGCTCCCTCGTTGGGCATTTTACAATTGAATCGGAGGAGTGAACATCAACGCGTGCACCACCAGCAAGGCCACCCATGGCGAGGAACAGTACGATGCCTCTCCGAGCTGAAGTCTGGAGGTGCACCGAGCTGGACGCCCGAACACAGCCACACCACACCACGACTACGGCTACCTTCCTCCTGCCGCTTGACCATCGCGGTGCTCGTGCCGTGAGTCATTGCTCCTGTCGGTCGGGTTGTTGTTTGGGCTCCTTGCCCCCCAGAGCGGCCACGACACATCGGCTCCAGCCTTACCAGGGCTTGGCCCTATTCCTTCATGGTGAACTTCGGGCGCTCTCCCGTGGTCTGGGCCCAGTTTGTGCTCGGGCAGGTGGCGGTCTTCCTCGTAATCTTTCTCGTTATCGTTGTCGGCGCATGCCAGCTGTTGCCGGCGGCGTGGTAGGCCGCCCGAGTCCTTACCATCGGGCGTGCCGCCAGCCACCCACATGCGCCTATCCTGGCTGGACCAGCCCCTGGCCGCCAACGCGTTTTGCAGATGCACGGCTTCCGACTTGACCTGACCCACAGGCCCTTGTGGTCGGTGCGATCGGCATGGGTACGGAAAGATAAGTGACGAAGACGGACAGGAGCCCCTGTCCATGCGGAACATGGCTCGCTCTCGATGTCGCCGCCGACAGTGTCCTTTCGACACACAAGATCGCCTGCCCAACAGCGGCCGCTGCTGGTTTTCATACATTTTTCCGTATCCATTCCGGGCGTCCAGATCTGTTGAATGGAAGCCGTCGCGCCAGAGGCTTCCTCGCCAACCTCGGCGCCCGAAGGCCGCTTCCAGGCCCCTGGCGGGTCCCGAGGGACGGCACCCGGGACGAGAGGCCGACCTGGAAGGAGGTGGCCCGCGCCCCCAAGAAGTGAGTCGGCCGAGGAGTTCTGCGTTCAGCCTCGCGCCGTTGAAGGACTCGAGCCCTTCCTGATGGGGTCCGAGCAGACGGGGTCGAAGGGTCGTTCCGCATCTCCGATGTATCGATGATGCGGCTCCATGTGGAGCCCGATTTTCTTTACGCCGATGGCGCCGATGCATCGGCGATGCATGGGTGATGCGGCGCGATCCTCCGACCCAATCTAATCGGACCCCATCTGGGAGGCTTATATTAACAACCTTAGCTTTGGATGGGTACCCTGGAATGCTCCACCCAGGAATGTTTTTTTTTCTGGGTATGTTCATGGGGCATTGAGATTTCGACGGAGGGCTGCTGTTCTTGACCCGCGTTCTTGTGGCCATGCTTCGACTGGGCCCAGACCCCTGGCGTTTTTTTTTGCTTGTGTGTTTTACAGCGCGTCAGCGTCACCGAGACGGGTGTTCAGAAACGGATGTTTCGGCAGCGCGCAGGAGGCTGGCAGGAGAGTGGCACGAGATCGTCATTTCTCTACATCGACCAAAGTCCATGTCTACTGAGTACGCGTCATAGTGGCGCTGGGCGTGGTCCCCGGGAGAGGGAGGGGGATCGGATGTTGACAGAACCCCCGCGCTGCCAAGTCAATCAGCAAATTGCCCTCTTCGGCTGTCATGAGGGTGCTGTGGCCACAGTTTTTCCCGCCCTGCGCCCGCTGGGTCTGGTCCTGGGTCGTTGTCGCTTCAGGGTGTCTTGCGAGAGGGGAGGAGGACGCGGTGCAAGCCACCAGCGCGCAGGTCGTCACGGCACGAGCGTGCCGCGAGCGGCTGGTTCGCGGTCCCCCCGTCGCGTGCCCCCTGCAGACGCACCGACAAGAGGACGGCCTAGAGCAACTCTTGAGGGGAGGGGCGCCCTGTCACGGGCACCCGGGTGGGATGTCGCCCCCCACCTGGGTGCTGAGAAGAAGCGCCTGGATGGGCACACCCCCAGCAGAGCGGGCGGAGCCGCCTCGCAGAGCTGTTGATACCCTTCTTGTGGCAGGCATGCCGGATTTGTAGCAGGGATGTCTTGCGTGCGATGACCCAGTGGCAACGTTATCGAGGGATAAGCTCAGGGCGGGATGCATCGATCTCCAATCGACCATGAATCGCTGACAGGGGCCCGTGGCCCCAACCCGCCCAGGAGGGTGGGAATGCGCTGTCGGGGGCCTACCGTCGATCAATCGGCGATGTGTCGCCAATGCCAGGTCGATGTTTTCCCCCCCCTTTGAGCCTGTCCCCTCCGATTCCCCCTCAGTTGGTGGAGGCGGCCTCTCCAGGCGTGCGAGTCTTCAGGCGACCGAGCAGTGCTGCTCGCGCAGTTTTTCTTCTGCTCCCAGGGGCGCATCCGTGGCGACGGCCCGCGGTTCCAGCGCTGCAGCGTTCGGGAGCGGAGCGAGCACCAGTGACGCGCTTCTGTTGGTGATCAGCCCGTCAGCGTGTTGCTCCTTCGCTCTTGTTTGAAGGCCTGGTGTTTCGTCAACAGCGTCACACGCTGATGGATTTTCCCCTCGGCGGCGCGTCACTGCTGTTCTGCTCCACGAAGGATGCCTGGCGCGTTCCAGCGACGGAGCTCCCACGACAGCTGCTGGTTTGGCCTGGGCCCTGCGCTGGAAAAGAGGCCGCCAGCGGGAGCGTCGGAGGCGACGATAGGGGGCGAGTAGCTCGGGGGGGAGCAAGGCACGTATGCAGGTGCTCCGATGATCCATGTATTCGAAAAGGCCCCTGGGCGAATGCGTGTAGTGCCCGCCCCTGGGCTATTCGCCCCTATCGTCGTCAGGTGTTCCGAGGATCCATGTCTTCGAAAAGGCCCCCGGGCGAATGCGTGTAGTGCCCGCCCCTGGGTTATTCGCCCCTATCGTCGTCGCCGAGAGCGGAGGATCCATGTCTTCGAAAAGGCCCCCTGGGCGAATGCGTGAAGTGCCCGCCCCTGGGCTATGCGCCCCGATCGTCGTCGCCCCGATCTATGTCTCCCAAAAAGGCCCCCGGGCGAATGCGTGAAGTGCCCGCCCCTGGGCTATTCGCCCCGCTCGTCGCCGCCGAGAGCGGGGGGCGAGGCCGACGCCCCGGGGCTGGCCTCGGGCGTCCCGTGCGTGCCTGCTTCCCGGGCCCCTCTTCGAGCGTTGGACGATAACTGGTGGTCCTTAGACGTAGTGGTGAGGAGGAGGAGGAGGAGGAGGAGGAGGAGGAAGAGGAGGAGGAGGAGGAGGAGGAGGAGGAGGAGGAGGAGGAGGGAACACCCGGTGGTGAGTTTTGGTCCTTAAACGTTCGGGGGCGGAAAAGAGGGGGGTGATGACTAGGGGGGGGGGGATTTCATGGCGCGGGCCAGGCTATTTCCCCAGATCTCGTGGCGCCCCTTCTTGTTTCATTACGTCCCTGGCCCCCCCCTTCTGGGCCGCGCACATGCCGTCGGCCATGATTTGCACCCCCCCCTCTTGGACACCCCCCTCTTGGCCGCTCCCGAAACGTGGTGGTGAGAACACCCGGTGGTGAGTTTTGGACGATTCGGGTAATGTTTTTCGAGCGCTGGCTGGCCCAGGAGACGCAAAGCCTCGTGGCGACCGCGTGTCCCCGAACCCGGTGGTGACCCAGAATTTCTTTTGGGGGGGAATCGGGGTCAACACCGGGTGTCTCACCACCTGGTTTGGAGACCACCAGGATAACATGAACGGTCAGAAGAATACAATAGGACAACTCATCACAATATCAATTTCAAAAACAACACCAGTAAAGACTACTACTGGCAGTATGGATTGCGCTATTTCTCGTGTGAAGCATGATGTCAACGTGTTCGGAGTTCCGTGCAAAACTCTTATGGGCGGGGCTAGAACCAGGATAAGTCGTTTCGGAAATGCTTTGGAACGGCTGTGGTGCTAGATACATCTTCCAGAACCGCTGGATCGCATAGATCCCCGACTTGTCCCGGTCCGATTTTGTCCTGGTCCTGGTTTCGTCTTGCTTTTGGATCGGCGCTGGAGCCCCCTCCATGGTGCGCTCCGCGCGCCAGGGAGGGGTTCAGCGCCGATCCAAGAAATCCATGCGGACCTCCCAAAGTTTATGTTGATTGAGTTTGTTCTTCCTCGAGAAGAGTTCATCACGCATCGGACTATCCACTTTGAGGGAGGAGACTGGAGGACGACGACGACGACGTTCATCACGAGGATATCGAGGACGGCTCGACGAGAAGGGGCAGAGGATTCACGATGCCACCACACTTCTGGAACTCCGCCGGATCGGGACCAGGAGGACTGGACGAGGAGGACCAGAGGGCTCAACGACAGTAGGACAAGGAGGATGCGGTGCAGTTTTCAGTCGCACTACGTTGGTTGTACCATGCTATTATATGCTACGCTGTGCCGTTCCGTGTTATGCTAAGCTATGCCGTATTAAGCTATGCTACGCTGTGCTGCGTCAAGCTGTTCTACTCTCTGCTGTGCTATGCTGTTCGAGTGGACGAGCGAGAGTGGACGAGTGCAAGGTGGCGGCGACGCACAGCTGAGACGGGCGGCGACGGGCGGCGACGAGCCAGCCAGATCGGCACCGGGGCCTAATGCACGTGGCGGCGACGGACGGCGGCGACTTGCGGCGACGAGCTGGCGGACTGCCACCGGGGCCTAATTACCTTATAACACAAGTAAGGCACACTGAGTGCAAGCACCCTGTGGGGAATAATCGTTACGATGAAGATTAAGTGCACGAGTATTACGATGACTATAACTTGTAATGCCAGAACAAGCGGACTTGTAATAATAGCAATAACGATTAGTAGTAGTCGCACGAAGATGAGACGAGCGGGAGCATTCATACTAATATATGAAGACACATGATAATACGAACAATGCAGCTATTATTTATAATCGTAGTTTTAGTCGTGCTAGCATGGGTACTGATAGCAACACGGAGAGTCATCAGCATAAGCTTCCGCATGCTAATAAGAGCGGCACTAATTTTGGTAATGATGCTTTTCACACATAACAAGTAATACTACCAACGAGAATCCGCACCGCGAACCCCCACTTCAGCCACGCACGCAGGGACTGAGACCGTCCGGTCCCATCACTGATGAGGAAGTATTTGGTGATGTCGCCCAGCCGGGTGATGGAGGCGAACGCTACTTCAGTAGCGTTGCCAGGTCAATGCTGAAGAGACATCTGAGGCGTTCATGTTGGCCACGCATGCGAATCGGAGGGTCAAATCTCGCATCGAGTACTACTCCAGCAGGTCGTGGCAAGCGAACTGGAGAGTCGCATTGCCATGGTCTTCAACGCTAGTCTAGCACTCGAGAGCAGTCCGACCGAGAAAACGAGGGGGGCATTGGCCACCAGCCAGGCCCAAGAGTAGGAATATGGAGAGGGACACTTGCTAATCACGGACCTCGGTCGGCTTGAGGGTGGTGGGGCTGGCGACGGAGGAGATGCCTTGGGCCTCGCAGGTTCTGGGCAGGAGGTCGTGACTCGCCAGATATTTGCAGATGAGGCTTGTTCTGACGGGTGAAGCAGCTTGAGCAGATGAGGCGGTCAGTCCGTTGCCACTTTGGCCCAAGGAATGCCAAGTCCAGGACACGCTGGGTCTTCATAACCACATACCTGAACACTACGTGCATGGATGTTGTGGCACCTGGCGCTCAGCGGCATCCTGCTGGCCGAGAGCTTGGTGTCACCCCCTCCCCTTAGACCCAATAGTGCACCCGCAGCCGGATTGCGCCATGACGATCCCACAGCCAGTGCAGGGGCCGACGAGGATGGCACATGGTCAAACGATGAGCCTGTCTACCAGGAGGATATCCAAAGCCACCGGACGCGGAACGGCGGGGCAGGGGCTGCCCTACTCGCGACAGACGAGTGTACAGGCTGCGCCTTTACGATCGATCTGAGCTGTCCGCACCACTTTGAGAAGCGTTCGGGCTACTACCATCGCCTGGCGGACTGCCTGCTGCCGAGCTACGGGTTGCTGGACATGGCGAGGAAGGCAAAGGGGACTGTCTGCATCCTGACCTACTCCCTCCGACCCAACATGATGCCATTTCTCGAGGCCTTGATCCCAGACATGCTGGAAAAAGGTGCTCGTTTCATCGACTACGCGAAGCCTTGCGCGGACTCCTTGATAGCGCACGCGGTGGACCCGAATGTGACCGATCAGGTCGAGAAGTATTACATGAACGAGTTTCCTAGACTCAAGAACATCACGGGTCGATACCCGATCGATTGGGCGGCAAATGTGCGCGCGATGCATCGCGATGTCGCCAAGGTCGTGCCTTCGCCCGACAAAGCTCAGCTTGTCTTGTTGGATCGCCAGAATTCTGCATCTCGCGTCATGTATCCGCCGGCGCATACGGCCTTGAAGAACATTCTGAAGGACATCGCGGGCGCTGAGAAAGTTGGATTCGCAGAGTATTTTGTGGCCTTCGGCACATCCCGCCATAGTGGTTGGGTCGTGGACACGAGTGGCCTCCAGGGGGGCTCTCGGGGGCCTTTTCGATGCCTTTTTTGGGTTTCTCTAGGGTCTCTTGGGGGCCTGTTTCAGGGCCTGGCGCCTCTTAGGAGTCTCCTGGGGGCCTTTTCGGGGCGTCTGGGTTCTTCCTGGCGCCCTTTTTGAGGCGTCTTGGGTCTCTTCTGCCTGCCTGCTGTCTCGTGGGCGATCTTGGGCTGAAGGGCTAGAACTTGCATTGCAGTCTGAGGTGTCCCTTTTTGGGGAGGAAGGTTCAATCCGGAAATTCTCCCGAAATCCGAAAACGGGCAGGGCGGGCTCCGAACCACGCTCCCGAGGGCTCCTTGGAACAGTCACGCGACGCACCCCGAGACCGCCCAAGAGCGCCCGAGAGCGTCCAGGAAATCTGGAAATCCGGCTTTGGGCCCGCAACACGTACTTTCGTTATTACAGAATTTTTACGCCTTGCCGCCTACCTCCAGAAGGTCACGGGGAGCCCACTTCAATGTTGCCATTTTGGCATGGTCGCTCCGAGCGGAGTGCTGGCCCCCGCATGTGCACACGCGCAAAGAACCGCCCGCCCCACCCCTTCATGAGCCATCTTGGTGCCCTCTTGGGCTGTCCTGGGGCCCGCTTGGGGCGTCTTGAGGTCGTCTTGGAGGGCTCTCTTGGGCCGTCTCGGGCTGGCGGAAGCGCGAGCAGGCCGCAACGCGAAAGACAGTCAAGCACTCCAAGGGCACACACGATTTTGGCCTCTCGGTGGCCTCCTGGGGGTCGTCTTGGAGCTCTCCTAGACGGGGCTCTAAGCCCCCAGTGAAACTGTACAATCTCCGTATTGGAAGTCGAATTCGAAGGGATCCGAGGTGGACACTCCACTTCGTGCCTCGGTGCACGGTTGCGGATTTCGGCTCGGAGACTGTCACGGACACCCTGAGAATATTTACGAACGCCGTGGGCACCATCGGTTATCATGGGGCGGCTTTCGTCAATTCCCTCTTTACCACGGTACCGAGCTGCGTAATGGAATTCACCACGTATTTGAATGATGCGAGTACGAAGGAGTGGCGAACTAATCAGGCCCTCGCGATCGAGAACAGGTTCCTGTCCTGGCACAAACTTCACATCAACCTCAGCACCCTACTGACCGTGAACGGCCTGAAGGCGCCGTGGTTCCAGGACAAGAGGCGGGACAAGTGGATCAAGCACTTCCACTTCGTGAACCTCCTGGACTCCGATCTGGCGGCTCTGGATGGGGACCTCAGGGCGTGCCTGAAGGCCCACTAGGACGACGCAGTGGGACGTCACTGCGCCGGGACGGCGCCAGAAGCCAGCGAAGCGCGCTACAAAACGGCCCCCCCGGGGCCCGTCCTCGAGGCCCTCGCACCTCGGGGGGTGGCGAGGGGGCTCGGTGGGACCCAAGCCTCCTCGCGGCGTGGAAGAGAATCGCGACGGTCGGTGTTTGGCCGCTTTCGGCCTCGGGGGGCCCCTGTCGACCCTCGTGACGGTCAAGCAACGGCTCCAGATGAAACGCCGGCCTCGGGGAAGGGGTCCTGACCTCTGGGGAGCCGCGTTGTGAAGAGCTCGCGACGTCGAATGTCTGGGGGTCCCGCCGCGCGTGGCGCTGGTGGGGGCACGCAGCATGGCAGCATGGCACGATCGATGGTGAACACACGAAGGCACGCGCGCCGGTGATTGGGCGCTCGGCAGCGGGGGAGGGGTGAACGGGCAGGAAGGAGGATCGAGAATTGCACGGAAGTTTCCCTGCTGGCCCATGTACGTAGGCTCTAAGCGGCCTAAAAGCTCCCACCGCGAGCGAACAGGGTGCTGAAAGGGCGGGCGATTCCTCACCACCAGTTGGGCTCCCGCCCCCCGTCGACGAACGCCCGAAGTGAGCGTGAGCAGGAGGATAACTAAGGAGGCGATCGGCCGCCTGAGTGTGTCTCCATTGTCCTCTGCCTCGGAGTCGCACTCCAGGGTGTCGAGGGGTTGCGGGGGTTTCAGGCAGTGGCGAAGCGTCGCTGCTTGCCTATAGGTCTTCCAACACATGTTCTAAGAGCCTCATGTGTTTTGGCCGAAATATTCTTAGAACCTTTCTGACTGAGGCTGTCTTGGTTTGGACCATTGGCTTTATGTTCTAAGAGCAGCGGTTGGTGCTATGAAACTATTCCCCAAACAGTGCTTGCACTTTAGGAATTTTATTTCTGTTCTGAGGAACTGGGCCCAGGTGTCGGCTCCGTGCTCGCCGTCGCCGCCCCGTCGCCGCCTCGTCGCCGCCAGTCGTCTGGGCTTGGGCTCGCCGTCGCCGCCCCGTCGCCGCCCCGTCGCTGCCCGTCGTCTGGGCCTGGGTGGCGTTCTGGCGGCTCCGTGGTCGCCGTCGCCGCCCCGTCGCCGCCCCGCCCCGTCGCCGCCTCGATTGCACAACGTAGATTGCACCACATACATTGTGCAACATAGATTCTCCTTTCGAAAGAGAAACAGGTTCTGCTACCCTCCCCCCCGGGGTTAAAGACCCCCCGTGAACCGATGCAACACACATCCTATTCTGACCCAATGTCCATCCTAACTGTGAATCCATACTATCCCAGCCAGGCCGGTATCGGCCCCCCCGCCATCCTCTGCAAAAAATACTATGCGCGCGCTCGTTTATCAAAGATCATAAGTTCTCAATTATCCCTCGAGAAAGAACGGGACGAAGTGCACACGCGTGCGACGTCGCAAAAACCTTCGGTTTCGGAAGGATTTCAAAATCGAGTGTCCATCAAACGTAAATCATGTTATCGCAACGCGGATTAAGAACAAACAGCATGCGTGTGCGTTCTTGCGAATTCTGTAGGAAGCCATCGGTTTTAAAGTATTTCCAGAAGCTGCTACCAAACGGGCTTCGCGCGCGCATGTCGAAATCGTTCGAGCGCCCTTGCGCGCGTGCCGTCGCGAGAGTCCTTTGCAACAGATGAGACGAAGTGCGCGCGCGCGACGTCGCGGGTGCATGCCGAACTCCTTCAAAAACTTTCGGTTTCGGAAGGATTTCAACATCGAGTGTCCAAAGCACATAAAACATACGGTTTCGCAACACGGATTTTCAAAACAAAGCATGCGCGCGCATTCTTGCAAATTCTCCAGAAAACCATAGGTTTTTGAATATTTCCGAACATGCTACCAAACGGGCTTCGCGCGCGCATGTCGAAATCGTTCGAACGCCCTTGCGCGCGTGCCGTCGCGAGAACCCTTTACAACAACTGAGACGAAGTGCACGCGTGCGCGTCGTCGCGCGCATGCCAAAATCCTTCAACCACTTTCGGTTTCGGAAGAATTTCAACATCGAGTGTCCAACAATCATACAAAACACATGGTTTCGCAAAACGAATTTTCAGCGAAAGCGTGCGCGCGCGCGCTCTTGCGAATTCTTAAGAAGACCATACGTGTTCAACATGTTCATAACATGCTACCAAACGGGCTTCGCGCGCGCGCATGTCGAAATCGTTCGAACGCCGTTGCCGTCGTTCTGGGGTGGCACGGTCCGTGTCAAATAATACCATGCGGGCCACTCTCGCGCGTCGGCCGCGCGCGCATTTCGAATTTCGAATTCCGTTCAAAATCTTCATCACCGACGCGAAGACGCCGTCATCGTCGTTGGCGTGATCGGCATCGGCGCAATCACTGGCCGTGCCGTCGTCGCTGTCAGCATCGTCACCAACATGCTACTGTTCATCATCATCGTGTCTACAATTGCCGACGTTGCCATATACCGCTCCCGCCCGAGTCGCCGACTCGCACTCAAGTGCCCGCCTGGATGTGCCGAGCGGTCAGCACCACCGCGGCCGCGTCGGTCGCGCCAAACTAGCTGGCCGCTGTGCGCGCGCGCATGCGCGGGCTGGCGCGGCCGCAAAAATGCATCAGTCAGCGCCAATCACCATCACAATCGCCGCCGCATGAGGTTTGCAAACCAAGTTGCGGGTGGTTGGGTGGGATATTCGCGCGAGCAATGGAGTGGACAACTCATTGCGAACATAAATTATGGACACCGCAAAAATTGCCGCGTAGATTGCACCACGTCGACTGCACCACATACACAGCTCCACATACTTATGTACCCATACAAAAGGTATATGTGTAAACATATGTATATGGATATGCATATGTATAGTTACGCGTTGAACTACATGTGCACGCATACGTATGTGTATATGTGTGTTCGCATATATGTGTTTGTTTATATGTTAATGCATACGTATATGTGTATGCATGTGTTTACGTATATGTATGTGTATACGTACAGGCGCATATTTAGTTATATGTGTTTGTACATGCGTGTATGACTACATGATGGTATGCATGTATGCATGTGTGCATGTATGCATGTATACATCAATGATTGTATGTATGTACGTCTGTGTGCAGGTAGACGTGTGTGAATATCTGCATGCTTGTATGTAAGTACGCGTGTGTAATTATGTATGTACGCATGCATGTTTATGTACATGTATGTCAGCACGTATGTATGTATGTGCGTTGTGTGTATGTATGTTCGTACGTATGCATGTATGTATGCATACGTGCAGGTATGTAGATATGTAGATATGTAGATATGTAGGTAGCTAGGTCTGTATACGTGTAGGTCTGTATGTCGGTCTGTAGGTATGTCGAGCTGTATGTATGTAGATCTGTCGGCATGTGTTATGTAGTTACGTACATTAGCAGGTATGTCGACATGACAATATATAGGTATGTATGCATGTATGTATGTAGGTATGTATGCATGTGTGCATGCATGCATGAATGCACGCCTGTGTGTACGTATTTCTACATTTATGCATGATTGTATGCATGCATGCATGTAGTATGTTTATATATATGTATATATATGTATATATATATACATAGATATATATTGTACCTGTATGTACATATACATGTGTATAAGAGTGCATGTATGCATGTTGGTATATTTTGTATGCATGTATGCACGTACATGCGTACGTGCGTACGTACGTACGTATGTATGCATGCATGCATGCATGCATGCATGTAGGCGTGTGTGTGTGTGTTTGTGTATATATATATATATACACACCGTGCCACATGGGGGGGGGGCTTGCCAGCTGCCTCGCGTCGCCATGGGGGGGGGGGGGCGTGCCAGCTGCCCCGCGTCGCCATGGGCGCCCCGGGCCTGCGGGGGCCGTCCCGGACGGGCCAAGAGTGGCCCCCGCTCGCCAAAGCAGCGGCCCAAGACGCTCCGAGACGGCACAGGAGGCCTCTAACACAGCCCGAAAACAACCTTTTACTACTTTCTCGGCCTCCGGCCGAGGGCGTCAAGGCATCGTGAAGCCTGTCAGCCACATCATCCTCTTCTTACGGCCCGAAAACAACCCCAGATGGCCTCAAAACGGTCCCCGAAGCCGCCAACGAGCCTCCCCGAATGCCAAACACGATCCAGGGATGCCCCCTCTTGGCAAAAAAAGCGGCTCCAGACTCCAAAGACAGCCCCCAGGCACCCCATTTGCATCCAAGACGCCCAGCGATTTTTAACGGGTCCCAACTGGCCTCGATCTCGCCCTCACCAGGTGGAAAACTGCTTGAAGCCGCCGTGAAGCCCCCCAGACCTGTCCAAAACGGTCCAAAGAGCCTTCCCCTCACCCGCCGTGAAGCCCCCGAGACTTGTCCAAAATGGTCCAGAGAGGCCCCCCCTCACCAAAATAACGATCCAAGACGCCCAGGACAGCCTCCGAAAAGCACAGGGTGCCTCCAAAATACCCCAAGAAGTCCGCTGCAACCTTCCCAAGAGCGCCTCAGGACGGCCGAGGAGGACCCCGAGACAACCCAAGAGGACCCCACGACTGCCGAAGAGGGCCCCGCGAGGCTCCCAAGACAGCTTCCACGGGGACACAAGACACCCCCATGAAAACCCAGTCACGCCCAGAGACCCCCATGACGGCCCAGAACAGTTTCATGACGGACGAGAGGACTTCGACCATGATGGCGATGGCGATGACGATGCTGCTGCTGCTGATGATGATGATAATGATGATGATGATGGTGGTGATGATGGTGGTGGTGGTGGTGGCGGTGCTGGTGATGGTCATGCTGATGATGACGATGGTGATGGTGATGGTGATGATGGTGACGACGATTCTGATGATGGTGATGATGATGCTGATGATGATGAGGATCATGATGATACTGTCGATACTGATGATGCTGATGATGAGGGTGCTGATGGCGATGCCGATGATGGTCATGCTGATGAGGATAATGATGGCGATGTTCATGGTGGTGGT